ACGTTGTGCAGCTGGAATTAGTGGGTGAAAATCTCAATCGTCACGTCACATTTACTGTTACAGATGATGGAAATATGATCCTGCCTGCTTTTGAGAACTTTCTAGACGATTTAGTACAATCGAATGCTGATGTACCTTTAGATAATAACCTGGAATTTGTTCTTCAGGTTGTTAATGACCCTGCAGGAGGGTCTAAACGTAAGGCTACAGGAACGGTAGACTGTGAACTGATTAATAAGAAAATGCGTCACCTGTATGTTGTAGATAATACCGGTACTCAGTTATGCTTTGCAATCTGCCTCGCACACGTCTCTGACCCTGAGCTTACGGATGACCGTGCTGTAGAACTGGGGAGGAAATGGCAGGACCAGGCAGGCCTCGATGAGCAAACAGCAGTTACTTTTAGTGATATTGATAAATTTGAAAACATTCTGAAGAGAAAAATTGTAGTGTTTTTGTAGTGTCACTTTTCGATAGCATAGGGTTGCCACGGAAGGACAACGCATCACAGCAGCGGCCGCAACAGGTAAGGAGATCCTATTAAACATCTCCAGTGTTTTTCCTCTAAAAACACTGAATCAGAATAAGAATCAGATTCTGATTCTGGCTGTGTTGTTAGTTCTGAGTGAGCTGTTTTTGTAATTCTTGGAGGCAGAGAAATGGTTCAGAATAATTGTTACGTACGTATTAATAAGTGATAAGAGGTGCTAATAAGCGGTGCGATTTTAACGATGACAGCCCAGGAAGAAAGGTACAATCTTCTAAAAAATAGCTAAAATCTAAGGGTGTAGGTTTTGAGTTCCTTTATTGTATGCAAGGGAAGATCGGTTTCCCTCGCACACAATATAAAAGCCACCTCCCTGAATGAGGCACACAATACTTGGCTAAGGTTTGAATGGGTCCTGAGTTCCGCTTAACGGAATTTGAAAGCGCCACCAAGGGGGAGTATTAGGTTTCGATAGCTCCTTGGGCTTCTTAAAAGCCCTTAAAGCTGCTTACTTCCTTGTGAGTAAAACACGCAGAGCCAAATGCGCATCCTCAGTTTAGGTTTCGATGGTTCCTGTTTGCTCTCGTAAAGAGCACGAAAGCCACCACCGAGAGGGAGTCTTGAGTTTCGATAGCTCTCTAATTTTTCCATAAGAAAAATTAAAAAGCCGCTGGCTCCTTTTTGAATAAACAGCTGTATAAAGATAAAAATGTAACATCAACTGGCCAGTGGGTGTGTGGATGTATGTGAGTCGGAAGTGAACTGACGGAAGTGACGGGGGACATATTTCACTGACGGACACTGACTGACTGCTACATGCTACATGCTGAGCTAACATGCTCAGCCAGAGTGTGTGAACGTGTGTGTAAAGTGAGAGAATGACTGAGAGAATCACAAAAAAATTAGCTCACAGCCCCACTGATCGACTGCATTAAAAAGAGGATTAACCGAAGTGAACCTGATCGGTGAACAGCTGATTGCTCTAAGTTTCAGGCTTCTGGAAGTCCTGAATCAACTTCATTTATATCTCCAGGTTTCCTTCAACTCTTCAGCCTCTGGTAACTACTGTCTTCGGAGACAAATAACAAGAAAGATCCCGTTTAACCATCAAAGCCTGGAGCATCATTGCATGCCACTTAAAGGAAGAAAACTGAAGATTAAGTCGTATTCCCTTCAAGAAACCTCTCGTTGTTACCAGAAGAATCTTTCTCCATCAGGTGCATTGATGAGCCTCTGTCTTCAAAGCCTCTCCAAACCCATTAGTTTCAGCATCAAGGAAAGACAGGTTGAGTTGATTGATTCATTTCTATTATTGAAATTATTTTGTGTTGCCGAATTTAAGCTGTTACTGACCCCTGCAAAAGCGTTACTAATTAAAGAAAGCATATAAAATTCTAGTTAAATCGTGGACATTCAGTTATTTGAGTCACCGTATTGTTGGTTTTTCATTGGTGGTAAAAAGTCTTGTTGCCTGGTTCTAAGAGATTTTAGGAGGTTTTTAAAGGTTGCCTTAGCCAAGTTTGTTAAAACAGCATCCTTGGGGCTCGTGCTGAGTCACTAAAATTAACCTAGCCCATATAACAAGAGCCAGTTGTAAATTAGGAAATGAGCAGCCATGAACAAAAGTGACTGTTGAGCAAAAACATATACTATTGGTCAAATCCAGTAATCAACATCCAATTAATCTATGTTCTATTCACCTGTTTTAACTAAATAACAGTACATTACAGAGAGCTATTTTTACTGAGCCTTTAGAGATAAACTAGCCTTACATTTTCTCCAAACCTTTACTAAATTATACTAGAACAGTTCTGTTATGTCATGATTGTTCATCCAATTAAAAAACACTTAACAGAAGCCTTTACTATTGATCTCTGTATTTAGAGAAACACTGATGAATTAAAAAAGAAACAAAGTATTTAACAGGTGTAAAATATCAGTCATAGTCAGTAATCATCATAGAAGTACAAAATTAAGGAATTCCCAAAAACAACACAGAGAACAAGCATTTACTATAAGGGTGGTATTAAGTTCTCTATATGTTCAATAGAGTAAAAATCCGCCTGTTTGTCAAAAATCAACACAGCACAAGAAAAATCTTAGTTCAAACTTTAGTTTTACAAACCTGTCAATGATGCCACAAATATCAACCTGCAGCAAACTGTAGTTTCCCAGCCATCTTTCCTGCACTTTTATTAAGTCCACTAGTTGGTCGTCCAATTTCAGTAGACGCATACATCCCTGAAACACTTGAAATGGGTTTCTGCAGTCCAAACTGGCTCTCTGAGCAGGGCAGCCTAAAGACAGATATACAAATTACTTAGATGGTATGAGAAACATCTGAGCAGGCAAAAGTCATGAAATAGTTATGATTCGTATTACTTATTGGTACTAAAAAGTGGTAAAGTTAACTTTGGATACCTCAGGGTATTTTATTACAATTTTATTTGACAGGCCAACACCAAGTTGGGCAAAATTAGAAGGTGAAAATAATTTTTTTAAGGGGACATATCATGCAAAATCCACTCTTTTATCCCTTAAATACATTTTGTTGTGTACCTGAAGTCTTTAGGAGAAAAGTTGAATTTAGTCTCTCCAGGTGCTGCACAGATACCTTTATATTCTATTGGGGTCATATTTTTCAATTCGTTCAGTCTTCTGTATTGTGTTTTTTTAATTATTGTGTCACAGTATTTGCTGCATAACTGCTGAACAAGGTCACGGACTTCTGGCTAATCAATTTCCCAAATCCTGCATCTGTGATTCTCGCAGTGATTTTGTAGTCCAAGCTCAAGTAGGCCGAAGCTGCAAGTGGATAAGTCTAAATGCTCGGTTGTTGGGTGTATTAACCCACACAATTCATTACACCATCCCCCAGCATAAGAACCTCTTCGAAGTGTAAACTACGTTGCCTAATGTAATTACTTGGTATGGATGGAGAGGGTGTTAATACGAGAATAACACACCATTGTTATGCATTTATTTGAAGGTGCGGTTCTGCAGGTTCGTCATCTTCATTTTTCTCTTGCTCTGGGTTGGATTCTGGCTCTGTTGTTGATATCTTTTAATGAATTTGGGAATGAAAAGTTTCTGCGCCGTTACATAATTGTATATCTGCTATCAAACTACAAAAATGGCTGAATGGGGTGGTGTGGAATGCTCTAGAAGCATGACGTATCCCCTTTAAAAATCATTACAGATAAATCTTTAAGATGTGTGGCATAGATTCACAATCAGACATTTTCACTCTGATAACCCTAAATCAAATTCAGAAACAGTTTGCTTTCTGAAGACACCTACATAGTGGAATCATCCTGTGTGCAATTTAATTTAAAAAATACAGATGTTCTCCAAAGTAATCAGAGGTTTGTTTGACAACATTTGCAAACAACCATCAAGGAGCACACAAGACAGGTCAGTGATAAAGTTCTGGTGAAGTTTACATTTACTTTTCCTTCCCATAGAACATACTCCTGGATCAGTGCTTCTTTGTTCTCTTGTGTCTCTGCTCTGTTCTCTCAAACCCCAAATCTTTTTATCCAATTTGAATAAAAAGCTAACTCTGACTGCACTGTTCAATTGTTAGGATTAATTGGAATGTATGTACCTGACTGTTGTGAAGTGCCTTGAGACAACGTGTTGTGAATTGGTGCTATATAAATAAAACTGAATTGAAAAATTTTATTGAATTTAAAGCAGGGTTAGGTAATAAAACAATATCCCAACAGCTGAATGTTCTCAAGACAGATGCTGTACAAAGACCTGCAGCTTAAGACATTTTGACTCAAAGGGGCTTTACTTCTTAGTCACTAATGTTCTCCAACAAATCCCCGAGTGCTTCTCAGAGCCAGTGTATTTATACTGAGATAAAATTTTTCACTGGAATTTACTGACTAATTCACTGAAAGCAATTTGTTGCACGGTGGCGCAGTTGGTAGCACTGTTGCAGCAAGAAGGTCCTGGGTTCGATTCCCGGCCGGGGTCTTTCTGCATGGAGTTTCCATGTTCCCCGTGCGTGGGTTCTCACCGGGTACACAGTCCAAAGACATGACTGTTTAATGACATGACTGGTTAATTGGTCTCTCTAAATTGCCCTTAGGTGTGTGAATGAGTGTGTGCATGGTTGTTTGTGTGTTGCCCTGCAATGGACTGGCGACCTATCCAGGATGTACCCTGCCTCTTGCAGGTAGACTGCTGGAGATAGGCACCAGCTTCCCCACGACCCACTATGGTAGAAGCGGTAGAAAATGACTGATGACTGACTGACAATTTGTTGCACTTTTTTATTAAGGGGTATCAGAGTACACTGGGCTGCAAATATATATTCTACAATATTTTGAAAACTATTTGTTTTTCTCCCACCTTACAATTATGTACCGCACTGTGTTTGACTATCACATAAAATCACAATAAAATACATTGATGACTGTGGTCATAATCGAACAAATGTAAAAACACTCAAAGGGTATAGATGCACATAGTAGCAGTATAAGTTCAAATGTTGTGGAAGCTAAACAGTTTCATAATTTACACAGGGATTTCTGATTGCAAGTAGTATCTTTTCTGTTCCCTACAGGTTTTAAACCAGTTTTTAGATTTCATCCTGCAGACTGAAACCCCAATGACAATGAAAGATGGTACAAAAAGTCTGATATGTTAGCAATCCTGGAATCATAAAAGCACTTCATTCCAAATTACAATGGTCAACTGATTGCTTGTTGAAGAAGTATAAAACCACCTAAAGCTTGATGCTAGTTAAAAAATATCTGCGCAAAACAGTGTTCGTGATCTCTTTTATTTAGCTTGTAAGCGTATTTCAAAGACTGTCTGTTATCTTTTGAGGATCCTACAAAAATGTATAAGATAAACAATTCCTTTTTCTCTCTGTAATGTCCTTTTTCAAATGAAGCAGGCACTTCATGAGTAAATGTATCATTTTATTAGCTGATTTTCCATTATTTTTGCCTTTGGGATGTGCCTTTTTTTTTACGTAACAGTCGCCTCAGCCTCCAGGCACAAGAAGAGCCTGATCCTGTGAAAAAAAGCTACGTGTCTTATCCGTCAGAGATTTACGCTTCAGGTTAATCCTGAATGATGACACACTATGGCCAAATCTAGCGATTTTGCTGCAGGCTCTGCATTGCTCCAGTTACAGGCAGCCTGTCAGGAACACAGTTCAGCTTATGCCAACAGAAGAAAAAGGGAAAAAGATGGTATGCTGTTCTCTGTCCATTAAAATTTTAGAAGCACAGAAGAAGATTTGAATGCACCTTTTATTAAGGCAATGAAAAAATTACAATTTTCAAAATCGACATGTTAATTGTGGAAAGTAAACATCTAAAATTTAACGTAAATCGGAAAACTTAATTTATGATTTAAGAGTTCATATTTAAATGATGGCATCTTTACCAACTGTAAATAACTGCAACTCTCCCTAGAGTAATCAATAACTGTATAACACAAAGTACATCATGGCTCCTTTGGCTGTCTACAGCAACAAAATTATATTGATAAAACTGTAACTCAGAGGGTCATGCTCCCCTTCAAAACCACTGCCTACCATTGCACTAATTTGTAGACTTATATAAAACAGAATTTACTGTTTCTAAATAATTATTAGGGTTTAAAACATAAAACTCTGATTTCAGTGGAAAACAAAGCACAATGTTGTAGTGTGTAACTCTGTTTTCATGTTTGAATTTTAATCAAGTACCTTGAGCAGTCCCTACAGCAATCTGTTTGTAGAGTTTTGCTCAACAATTTTCACATAGCCTAACGTGCTGCAAAAACAAACCTACAAAGCAAAAGCAGTAATGTGTAACCCAATAACAGATAAAAATAAGACTTCCATGATGGTCAAACCCTCTCATTCCCTCACATCCCAAAGCTACAATACTGTATTCAGGTGCTGGTGCTGGTGGAAGCCACTGGAGTACAGGGAACTCAATGTTATGTGCAAGAAGCCAGTTTGAGATGATTTTAGTTGTGTAACATGGGGCATTATCCTGCTGGAAGAAACCATTTGAAGATGGGTACGCTCAGATTATAAAGGAATGGAGAGGGTGAGCAAACAGACTATGGCATTTAAATGATGCTCAGCTGCTATTAAGTATGCCAATAAAATATTTCCCACTACCACCACCCCCGAAATTACCACCATGCCCGAACCTTTGAAACAATGTTAGATGGATCCATGCTTTCAGACCCTATCATCTGAGCCAAGACTCCTCAGACAAGGCAACATTTTTCTAATCTGTTATTGTTCAGCTTTGGAGACCCTGTGTAAACTGGAGCCTCAGTTTCCTGTTCATAGGGAAACAGGAGTGGCCCCCAGAGTGGTAATCTGCTGCTGTAGCCCATCTGCTTCAAGATTTCATGTGTTGGACATTTAGACGTGGTATTCTGCATATCTTTGTTGTATTATGTGAGTATTTGAGCTGCTTTTGGCTTTCTATCGTCATTAACCAGTCAGTTCACCTCTGACCTTTGTAATTAATCACACATTGTTCGGATTATGATAATTAATTAATTAATATTTATCAATAATTATAATTGAAAACCAAAATTTGACTAAACCAATTTCTTAACCAAAGATCCTAATTTATGAATCGAAGCCAGAGATGTCCTCTGGTGTTGTAATTGTAGCCTAAAGCCCTTGATAATTACAACCGTTAAATACTCAGTAATAATTTATAACTATTACTAGATGTCACTGTTTAATCAACCGTTTCTGCTGAAACGTGGGGAACTTTGACCTTATTTTGACTGACAAATCACTCTTGCACAAAATAAACACAAACGCCTTCTCTTTATCTACGTGACATTTATTAAATCAACAGCCTAATACAATCCGCTATCCGATTCAATAACCTTCACCTAATCAAACATGCAAAGTTCTACACAAAAGGGCAAAATATCTAACTAAACTAAATAAAACAAAACAGCAGTGGGTGTGTATGGAATCAAACCAGCAGTTATGGCAAAGGTGATAATATGACAAAGGAATATGGTGTTGAACGGAGTTTTGGGAAGCAGCCCGCCAGAAAGTGTAGCTTAGTTACAGTGAGCCATAAAACTTCCCCCACCGCTGGGGATGTTCGAGAACACAAAGGGTTGTAAAACTTTTGGTGGCAACTAATAAAACCCAAAGTTGAAGACCAAGAAAATGGTTTATTTTCACCATAGGGTTATTAAACAGTTCAGTTTTAAATGTGCGGCTTCCAGATATCCAACACAGCACATCAAAGTTTCAATAAAAGGTTGCATGCACATACAATTCAGAACACATTAGACTATAAGTGGCGATTCTACATCGCACTAAAACCTACTCTACCCTGCCCAAGCTATTCCTAACAAAGAAATAAAAATAAAAGGTGGATTTTACTTGTCGTTGTCTACTCTGAGCAGAGGCGGGGTGAAAAGTTCCACGCGTCCGCAGATACTTAGCAAAGCAGTCCGTTTTCTTCTTTTGGGGCCTCCGTGGCAGAAAGGTAGAAAAATTATGACGGACCGTCACTAGTCGACTGGTACAAAAACAAGGAGGAAAAATTGCGTCTCCTTGAAATCTCCGTGGTTTTTTTGGTTACGTGTTAAACTCATGTCTTCAATCGGTAAAGTTGAAAACTTACAAGCCTTCTTATTCCTGTAAGCTTAATCCGCTTAGTTTTCTCATTGGCCAACGAGGAGAATGAATGAAATCCACTTGGGACCTCTTCTCCAGAATGCTGCTTCAGTTGCATGGTAACCGCGTCTTGGTCCCAAGCTGAAAGCAAGGGGGTGCAGTCTCATAGTCCGTTATATGGTACACTGTGGCATCGGAACTGGGACACCCCTGTCTTATCAGCTGCAGTGCCCACTGGGATTTGTAGTAGCGGACTATACTGGGATACAAAATGGCTGATGACGCCGGAAGGCCTGGTGGTGTCCAGCAACGTGCAAATGGTCCAATATTCAGCAGACAAGAGGTCCAACAACATTTTGTTCCACACAACTACAGCTAACAGGATCTTTACAGTTAGCTGTAAAGACGGATGTGCACGAACATCCTTGTGGATCTGCTTTCTGTCCCTTCAGTTTAAATTCAAGAGGGTACGATTACTCAAATAACTTGCATTTAATTTTATAGTAGTTATTTACTTTGCAGATTTTAGTCTTCTACACAATGTCTGAGCATACAATGTAAGACAGGCAGGTTTAAAACTCCTGCCATTCAGAGTGAAAGCTTTCTGCTCCATTTCCATTCTTCTCTTTTAAGAGACAGATATGCAGGATTTCTGTTCTAATCGACATATTTTTTCTTGGATTTGAACTTCTTCACGAGCAGATTTATCTCAGTAATAGAGATGGTGAGTTCTGTAAAGTCTAGAAAAGCTGTGCAGCTTGAAATCATCTTTTGTAAATGCAGGTCAACATGTTCAGTTAAAAAAAATCTTAAACAGATCTGGGTCTGTTTATTTTATTTCGGTCAGAATGTGCACCACTGTTCACTATGGGGACCTTTTGCCCTAGAAGGTGTCAGATCTGACAAACATGAACTCCAGTCAGTGTCATCAAATAGTTTCTTTATTCACCATCAGGTGCTGAACACTGACCATTTCAAGTTTAATACGTTATGCAACAGAAAGACTCCTACATCACTACATTACATCCTCCAACACAAGCACAAGACTCCAGTACTAAAGTGTTCTCTGACTGACAGTCAAGCTGCAGGGTGCAAGGCTGGGAGCATGGGCCCCACCTGAGGATTTTGAGCCAATCATGCTACCCTAACAAAGACCATTTCTGAAAGTTTTAGCCAGAAACATACCAGCAAGTGGCTGACTGGGAATCAATTTCAGATTCCCTCAATCATTTCCTGTACAAAGAAGCAGATGTGTTCATTTCAGTTTCGCTTCAATTCTACAGCTCTGTCCAGTTAACCTGGTGTGAAGATCTGTCTTTGCTGAGAGACACATTAAAACCTTTCGGAACATCAAAGAATGATGCACTGTGAA